CCTGCCCTGCGGGGACGAGCGCGCGCAGCGTCCCCCGCTGCCATTACCGGGCTGGAACCACCCCCCACCACCCACCCTCAGCAGCCCTCACCACCCGCCAAGCCCCAAACACCGTGAAACCGGTTACTTCTTAAGTGAAAGCCCTAGGTGTGCCTAGCGAGGGTTCAGTGAAGGTGTGCTTTTAAATAACGTCACCACACATCAGTAAAACAAGCCCAGGACAAAGTCCTTGCCCGACCTCGCCCCACGCTGGGCCCTCCTTGCTCTGCCTCACCCAAACCGATACCACAAAGCACAATTGGTAAGATTAGGGAGATTTTTGTGACAGGCATTTAGTATTTTAATGCTCATAGGAGCACAGGCAAAGTAAATAAAAGAGGTACTGAGGTGCTAACAAGGCAAAAACCGTTTGTCATTGGCTTAGGATGAGGATCTCCCCTCATGGCTCCAGGACGAAGCGCACCCCACGAGCGCCCGCAGACCCTCGGAAGATCTCTGGGGTGTGCGCTACTGTTAACCGGCAGCAACTGTACCGCAAGTATTGCCGTGGCACCTGGTAGCAGCAGAAAACTTGTTTAAAAACACATGCTGTAGGTAAAGGCCAAGTGTTGGGAGCTGAAACACAAGGTCTGGCTGCTGGCCATCTTTAAAGTCTGTCAGCGCTTTTCCCAGCACCGGGAGATAAATACGCATGTAAATGAGAACCAAATCTCACCCTGTGTAACACTTTAACAGCATTTTTGTAGATTGTAGTTGCATATTATTTTTCAGACGTTGCTGTGCAAAAGAAGCCTGCCTCTTTTCACACCAGCGTGGGTACCAAACTCGCAGCCGCAGCAGAAGGCACTGTACGTCAGGCTCACAGAAATTCATTCAGTTGTTTGCTGCTTTGCATTTGACCCAGCAGCACACGGGGAGATAGACACAACGGGCAACCATGAGAAAGGAAACATCACTAAAATACAAACGCACGCTACGGTAACTGATGTAATCTGTGTTTTTATTCCTACTCCACATCAGGAACACAAATATTCCACCGCAAAGGGCGGCTGACAAACTGGATAAAACCGCCTCCAACAAACGCAGCCCATTCACGCCACGGAACAACGCAACCCACTTTTTCTTTGGGTTTTCCTTTCCGCTGGGTCACAGCAGCCTTTGTACCTGCCATGACGGCGCTGCTGCCAGAGGTGCGACCCAGAACACGTCACCAGCAGCAGCTCACCTCACCTAGAATTGCTGCCATCTCCTCTGACTGCTGTGATAAGGGAACAAGGCCCTTTGATACAAGCAGAGCTGAACCATCCGCGCACCAGCCATTTCTGTTTGCTCAGTTCCACTCCCTGCAGCAGCACAGCCACCGCAGATTTAAACCCACCGCTGTGCCCGGCAGACCGGCTGTGCAGCAACAAGCCAGCCACCAGCATGGGAGATAGGACACCAGAGGGCAGCCAGCCCTCTGTCACTGCCTGCCTTTATCCCCACGACAGCCAAGGGAAAGGCAAACACCTGGGCCAAAGCATTTCCATGCCCATTCCGAGGTGGTTCCAAACAAATTTCATGGTTTTGAAGGACTGCGGTGTGCAAGAGGCAAGTTTTAAGAACATAACCACACCAAGCTGAAGCACGTGAAGAGTGCAAGGTTCATTAACACAACCTGGCGAATTTCGAGTCGGTAACTCACAAAATCCAGGGCATCATCATCTCATATGAAAGGGTTATTTATGAAAGCGTGATCAAGTCTCCTCGCGAGATGCACACAGACAAACCCTACACCAGCTAGCTGTACCGGGCAGGAAAGCAGTGCCACAGCGCAAACAAGGGGCACAGCCACGCTCACATCATCTGTTATCTCAAGTGTTTTTATGTCCTTCTGAATGACACCTGAGGAAAGGCTGGCTGGCACTGAAAGTGATCATTAAGGCTTCTTACATGTTCTAACAAAATGGAGCCATTTAAACTACTGACATTCTTTACCACAAAACTCCAATTACACCAGATTCCGCAACACACTTGAAAAGAAAGTCTGAAAGCCATTTTTATAAGCCTCACTTGAGAGACGTCAAGAGATGGACACTGAACTTCCTTTTCATGTTCAAAGTAGTGCTTTATGACAGAGTATTTCAGGAAAACTCACGTTTTCACAATTGTCTTAACTACTGCAGAGCCCTTTTATTTCTCCAGTTGCCATCAGCATAACAAATGAAACTTCTTAAGGTTTAAAGGCTGAGGACTAGTAAAGTGATGCACGTGAAAACAGAGTAAAATCAGTAGGTTCAAGCTTCCCATTACTAATCTGTATGAAGAGCTGAAGAGAAACTCCGCAATACCAGCTTTTATTTCACTTGCCCATTTTGTGACCTCAGGGAAAACAGCTAGAGGTGAGCAGTTAGCGAAGAAAAGGGTTAGAGTAGTTGTTTCTAAAAAACTACCAGAACAAAACACCGCCAACCGAAAAAAAAGTGTCAGATCACTACAGCCCTATCAAAAGGTTCCAAAAACTGAGAATATCAGTGCAGCAGCCACGCTGGTTTAAGGATGCAAAAAGGGCACAAGGCAAGAGCCCTTCATCTGCCCAGGTGCTACAGCTGGATGACAAATGTAGTAAACTGTCTCACAAAGAGAACACGAACTAAAACTCCAATGGGTGGCCACACAGTCTCTAGCTTGAAGTGGACTACCACATAAAACCACTGCAAACTAAAAATACAGTTTAGAAACGTTTACACGCAACAAGAGAGCAACAAACTGCACCTTACACGCTGCTTCCATCACCAAGTGGTGGAAGCGCTCCTCAGAAAAGGGCATTTAGTGACAACAGCTGCCAAGGTACAGCCAAGCACAAGTGCTGCCAAGCCTTCTCTTTGCCCTGTAACAGAGCTAGCCAAATGCACTTGCAAGCCTACTCCAGAGACTGAGCTCTGCTCTATCTTCTGCAAAGAGCGCAACTCGGCTGTTCCACAGCCAAAGCCTAAACACAGGCCGTTTACAACCGAGTTTGCTCAAGAATTTGAGTATGAGGCCAACGACACAGGAAGGAACAAGACCTCAAGCAAATCACTAGGACTTTTATAGGGGTTAAGTCTAACCCAGCACAAACCCAACACAGCTTGCAAACCAGAGAAAAAGCTTCCTGATCATAAGTTAGCCACCTGCCCTACAAAGGAAACCACTATGAGCTACAGACTGCAAGACTAAGTATCAAGATACCCTTCTCCGCTATCAGAGACTGTAAGAAGTAGGTTCTAGGCACTCTCCTGAACTCAAACCCACATTCTTCAACGTGAGCACTGTAACAACATGTATTTAATACGATCCACATCAAAAGCATTCACAGCTAGTTATGTGTGACCTTAAGGGATGTTATGGTCAGAGACCGAATATCCCTGGTACTTTTATTATCTCTTAGTTCTGTCTTGGATAGCCATGAGAGTTTTTCCATTTGCTCCTCATGTTTCTGGACTTAAAATTGGTATCTGCCAAGATTTATCAGTCAAAGGGAAAGCAAAATCGGATGCATTTTCCTCTGTCTCCATTTAAAATTAAGCCTTTATTTCAAGTCATTTTAAGCAGAAACCTCTCACAGCAGGTGGGATAAGCAGGCTGTTAACACCATTACACTGTTACATTCAGTTGCAGAGATAGGTCTCACTTCATACAAATATAAGCAAAAGGTGTGTTTGTGGTGAGGGTTTTCACCCCTTAGGCAAAAGCATCAAGGAGCAGTCCTTAAACATCTCAGTGTGCCAAGCACACCACTCCGCGCTCTTTGCATCATGAGGCCAACCAGTAATGTGGTAAATCTTGCCCATGGAACACAGGGGAATCAAACCGTTCTGTCATGGCGTATCTTACCTGACAGAAAAGCACGTTCAACTTGCTTGAGGAATCCAGCTATTCAGTGAAAACTATCTATATTCGGTGTTGTCATGGGGGGGGGTGTGCTTCATTGCACAAAGGTATAGAGCACTACTTGGATTATCTATATTAAAAGTTAAAACTTAACTGAGCACTACCCTCGTTATCTTAACTCTTAAAATATCTGAGGCACAAGTATGTGTGTGTACTTGTTTTATTCATAATTTGTCTTGGGATACCAAATGTACTGCTACTTCAGGTGATTTAACAATACTGTTGACCTCATTTCAAAACATCCACTGATCCATTTTTCATTCCATGGCAATATCGAATGTTAAAAGGAACATAAAAACAAACATGCACACAATCGTACAGTTTTCATAAATGTCTATTTCATTATTTGTGGGTAGCGCATTAAACAGTTAAATACATTTAAATAATGTTTAAGTGACTGCACTAATGCAGAATTTTAACTAGACGGGTAACCAATTTAACTAGAAACCAGCTAACAAGTAACTGTCTAAGTACTTCAAATACAGCTCTTGTTCTAGGTCATCCTTCTTGGGAAAAAAAGCCTGCTGGTCACATTGGAAATACATTTTAAGGCCAATTTCTTCTGATATCCCTTCTCTGCAGTAGTTTCTTCACCTTTTTAAGCCTCCAATTCCAGGCCAAGACCAAGTTTATGGCCACCAGCATTGATGCTCTTTCCATCTATCAGGGCAGACAGCGTAAGCTTCACACCTGTAAGATTTTTGAAGAACATGTTCACAACATACAATCACAGTAGCTTTCAGGCAACTCAACCTCCATCATTGCAAGCCCCAGTTGTAGCTCTTTTTCTGTTTCATTACTTTCCTCTGAAGATTTCTACAGAAGAATCCATTTACCCAGGAAACCTACTGAAAGCTAGACATGTGAATGAAGCTAGGTGCTTTTTGCAAATACCGCGTTACAATGTGGATATACAAAGTCTCTAACTCGTAAGTACAGAAAAGCTCTCCTCTACATTACGGTGTGCAAAGGAGGAAAATTACACATAGACAGACACCTCTACCAAAGAATGGGTGGAATGAAACTATGATTTTTATTGGTTTTCAGATACGGAACTAACCAGTGGCAATACAGCATTAGCAGGTGTTTTCATATTTAAGCAGAACAAGTTAGTTCTGGAGGTTTTTTTACTCAATATGAAGAGCAGGAAGTGTGTTCTTTTGATGATTAATCATTATTTCAAGACCTGCCATCATCCAGTATGATACGGCTGGAAAACAACTGCTTCCACAGCCTAAAGCTAAGCTAATCAAACACAATACAGTCCACTCCTACACAAATCAGTGAGGAGTATGATCCAGAAATACCATTAGATACAATGGAATTTGTCTTCTTTATAGAAAAGTTTTGATGTGCAACATAAGCTGCTAGAAAACTTCTACTCTGCCTTCACGACAAAATTATTTTGCAGAAGGGAAATAGTTGCATATAAACGCACAGATCTCAAAGACTCTCTTTGTGAAGCGTAAAAGGTATCTATGTGACATAATACACGCAATAATCCTTACCTGGCCTCAGGGTCTGGGTGTAACCCACTCCAACTAGACTAGAATTATTGACTTTTGCCTGAAAAAAAGAAAAAAGACAAAAGCAATTGAAATGTTGTGCACGGTTAGTTCTTTGTTATCATTCAAAAGCTAGAGTAACTCTGGCAACACTGCCATTATCAACTTCAGCAAATTTTACTGGTTCTTTCAGTATCTCGGTGTTTTCTAGATTCTCTCTTCCCAGCGATGCCCTTGCCCCCCAGCTCGCAGCTGAAGAAGTAGCACATTTAGGAGCAGACAGAATTTAAGGGCAGGGAGAACTGTTACTGCATTGCAGTCTGGCAGGTGACCTTCCCCACTCTGCCCCTTGTAGAAGGGCACAGCAATTCACCACCACAGTCTCCCAAAAGAAGCCACTTCAGAAGAATCCTCCATGTTCATACGATTACAGAGGAACTGGTATCTTGCAGGTCCAAGCAGTCAAGCAGCAAACATTTCGTAACATCATCATAAGCAATACATGAAAAATTATTTATCTCACTTTGCATCGCTCCCTCTACAGGATGATTCCAACAATCCAGGTTCAATTCTAACTTTCCACCATACAGGAAATCTTTCTGCCTATCGCCTTTTTAACCAGCATCACCAGGGTTCTTATCACGAGACTGTGACAAAGGTCCCCAAAAACTGGTTTAAAAAAAATTCTGTAAACATACAGAACTAGACATGACGGTGGTTTTGTTACTATTCTTTTTAAATACAGTGAGTCCTCTAGAGTAGCACACCATTTGACAGTCAGATTCTAGTAGAGACTTCACTGTATGCAACAACATAGAATTCAAATACTGCTGGCTTAATTCTAACTGCCTGGATCGTAAGAGTAATTACCTTCTTTCGGACTAATAACACACAGATTTGCAGAAATGGAAAATATGCTGTGCTTAGCGTAACCCTTTTGGTTAGAGCGTACTTACAGAGATAGAAGCAGTGGAATCCAACTTGTATTTAGCCGCAATGCCAAAGCGAGTGCTGTTGCTACCTGCTGTCCAAGCCAGGTTTACGGCAGTTTCAAGATTGTCACTCACTTTCTGGTAGATTGACCCACCAAATTCCGAACCATCATTTCTGCACAAATTAAGAAAAAGGTTAGTTTCCTACACTGACAAAATCACAACTTCTTTTTAACTAGTTCAAATTTTTATTCAAATGAAAATTCCAAAAGTTTGAGTTGTTTCACTCTTTTCAACCGGAGAAGGGGAGATGAACAAATGCTTCAGGGCAAAACTAAACTGCTATAATTCATGGGGGAAAAACAAAAAAAAAAGATCTGTGCTCAGTTAATTCTCACACTAATGTTAAGTGCCTGAATGTAATTCCAGATCATATCCTTATAAAACTAACAGATAGACATTAATAGTTAAGCATGGGCACTCTGAACTCTATGATTATTGAATACACATGGTATTCCTAAAGAATTAGATGACCTTTTTAAAACTCTGTCACGATGTATGGCATTAGTAAACTGAAATGGAATTCTCACAGCCCAGACTATAAAGTGTTTCATAGCTTCCTCCCACACCCCTCAACTTCCATAAACCCAGGCAAACGCAATCCCCCATCCTTCCCTTCCAAAAGGACAAACTTCTACCTCAAAAACCAAGCCATTTCCTAACTAAATGCACTACAAGGCCACCATTTTTTATTAACTTGGATTGAAAACACCATGCTCTTCAGTAGGTTTTGATCAGCTTGCTCCAAAGAACATTTAAGAACTAAAGGCAGCAAGTCTGAAGCAAGCTCATAAACAGGATGTCTTACACTTTCCAAAAGCAAAGCTCTAGTCTTGCTCCAGAAACTACTACTGGCCTACTTAAACAGTGCAACACTAATTACTACCTCTAACAAATCTACTGCCCTTAAATTACAGTTAGATACAATTCATTGTACAGGGAAAGCTGGCAACCCATTACGATCAGCTCTGCGTAATTGAACTACTGCACTTCCAATTTGGATGTACTTCAGTATTTGGTAAACTGTAGTATTATTGTGCTGTAAGCACTAACAAGCCACGGGTATTTACTGTGCTGAAAAAGAGAGATACAAAGTAACATTTGTCATTTATTTAGTTTCCTATTGAAAAACGCACTCCACTTAGCCTTTCAAGCACCTCTTGGCACTTCAAGCATTTGTATTCTGAGTAGAGGGAAAGGTGAAGCAAGCCCGCTTCTGTAAACCCCGACACTATTTTCAGTACTTACACATTAGTGTGCAGTTGGAAGTCTCCAGTCTTGTAACCCACAGAGAAGTTATTTCTTGTCAATTTTGATTTGGCACTATCAAAAGTCATCTGATAACCAGCAAGCCAGCCTTCATAACCAAAGACAGCTGACCCATGGATTGCAGGTCCGGCAAAATCAAAGTCAACATCACAACCTAGGTTTAGGCATTCACGTTTATAAGCTGACTTAATTTTACCACTTTTCTTTCTGAAACAGAGAAACAGTTACCTTAAGATAAGGCTTCATCTTCCTCAATGATCTGCCAAATAAATTCAAGCTGTATAAATCTACGTAACGTACCTAAACACCATGCACATGCATCCTCTAGACTGAGCCAAAGCACAGCCAGCCCACCCAGAAAGCACAGAGCTACCGCAGACAGGCATTTTGCAATGAATGTTTTAATTTGCATTTTCATGCCTCCTGCCATCTCCCAAGTATTCCTATCCCACTAAATAAGCAAAGTGGGCTCTTGTGAAATGTCCAATACTAACGCCATCGGATACAATGTGATGCTAAAGAGCAGAAGCCTTTAGCATTGGGATTTGCTTGTTTGGATCAACAGCAAATCGTTCAAACACCTCTGCCAATACAACAGACCAGATGAACATTTATTGACTGTGGGTGTTGTTACTGCCCTAAATAAGGTCAAAAGGTTAACAACTCTTACCCTGTATTTGGTGAGAAAGTTGTATCAAATGTCAACTTCAAGCCTTTGGCAATCTAATTGAAGGGGGAAAAGATAAGATAAAAGCTATAAGTTCAGCTCTTCTAGTTAGATAAAACAAATACATACTCTCCTAATCTATTACCTGATCTTCAATTGCAATTTCTGTTCCCAGAGTGTTATCTGTGTTCCATTTTTCTGTGAAAGTCAGCCCATACTCAGCCCACTTGTATTTGGTCTCCAAGCTCCCATTCACTTTTCCAGTGTCTGTGTTCGATGAACCAGACGTTGTGAATTCCTAAAAAGGACAGTGCCCATGTTATACAGAAGATACACGTGATCCTGAAAGCATTACGTAGTGCCAGAAGAGAAAAAAAACCCAAAACTTTTCTTCAAACACCAAGATCCCCTTATTCTATGGAGCAAGTTTAACAACATCAGACAACTTGCAGGGGGAACGACATGGACAAGAAAAACCAGGTGATTCACACCCATGTGGAGGCCTCCCCCCACTCCCCATCTCAACTGCAGCGTTTCACCCACTACTACAAAACGTGACAGTTTGCAACGTAACTCAGAAGCAAGACAGTAGTTACCATAAATATTCTCCTTAAAAGCAGAAAAAAGTTCTTGAAATATAAGGTTAAGTCTGACACTCCTGAGGAGCAAATTAAAAATCAAACCAAAAGCCAAGAACACCATAAGGCACATAATGCAACTCCAGCAAAATCCTTTAAGGATCACACACGTATTTTCATTATTCCAGTCACCCACCTCCAAAGATAAATTATATACAACTGTAAAATGTCACAGAACGCCATCACTGTTCAAATTGGAGGTGGGGTGGGTAGTGGTTTGGGGTGTTGTTCGGTTTGGGGTTTTGGTTGCTTTTGAAGAGAGTTCCGTCCAACCAATGCACCAGCTTTCACACAAGCCATAGATAGGTATACGTGTTTTTACTGACATCTATAAAACTCCCATTCCCCTGACACTTTAATGACACACGGGAAGAACATTCACGTTTGAATCGGGAGCTAAGGTCTTACTCGGAGTTCTTGAAAGCATTTAGAAGTTCGCAGTATTGCTAACCTCTCCTCATTAAACTAAGCAGTCCCTGAAGTCTCTCACTATTTGGATTCTCACAAAGAACAGAATGAATAATTTCTGTGTGCCACTGTTCAGAAACTAAAGGCAACACCTAGTAGAAGCGGAAGTCTGGTTTGCAAATGTATGTTAAGGAGCTCCTTCCACTGAAATACTATTGCCCTCGTGGTTTAAAAAGTTTGTTATATCAATTTTTTAAAACACTGAAATCCAGATTTTGATCTCCAACTTCCTCCATGCGCAGTATTATTTTCATACTGAATCCTCACACTCACCTGCCCCGGAAGGAAACACAGATTTGAAATCACAAGTCCTCAAGCATTCATATTCTCACAGCCCAAGATCTCCTGCACATCGCAAGCATGCATGAGACTGTTCTTTAGTGGTGGCTGATAAAGTTTAACCACAGCTGAGACATTTACTTGTGTTACACTAGTGAACCACTAAACCATCCACACAGTTGTGTAATTTTGGTTAGCTTTGTTTCTTGGCAAGTGACAGGGACTACACATCTTGAAGTCCAAATACCTTCAGCTTTAATTTCTTCCTTTGTGCTATTCCCAGTGCACAGGATATATGTGTGACTGCAACCACTGTAGCAGGAGGAGCAAATTATTACATTATCTCTTATCTCTGCTTTAAAACATGGCCAGTACATACATGCCAGCACTTTCTCCTCCTGGGAAGGGTGGCTTATAACTGATACGGGATTCATACAAGGGCTTGGATTTTTCAGAGAGTTTTACCAGTATTACTGGTAGTCCTCGAAAGAAACAAGCTAAAATAAGAACAACTACAGCTATAATAGGGCTCTTGCAAACTATGCTTCAGTCAGGATACAGGCTTCTAGAAAAAAACACAGCGTATAACCCAGGCATCTTGTTTCTAACAGCCAGTTAGACTGTTAAAGCTTCCAGTTAGGGGCTGGGGGGGAGCTCCCTTTGTATCCTGCAAAGTCTGCTCTAGAAATAGAAAAAAAATCACAGGAGACAACTGCTTGCATGTCCAAGACACCTTGCACGGAACATTACTGAAACACTTTAATGCCTTTAAAGAGGAGGCAAAGACTCAACGTGCTGATTCACTGCCAACTGCACAAGCATCAAGATGCCAGAAGTTTCCACCAAATACAAACAGTACACAGAATTTATTTCTAAAGGACCTCGATACTATGATTGATATATTAAAATACTTCAAAATGCGTCAGCTATTTGCTCACCTTCAGACGTAAGACAAGGCACAACAGTGTACTAAACAGTGCGATACCCGTTACACTCAGAATGAAGTCAGATCTTTAGAGGTTTCAGAAATTATTTTACACTGAAAGTTTATCATTCGTACAACCCATAAAGCACTTGACAGCATCTGAAAGGTGTCCTTTCTAATTAAATATCAGAACATATCCAGAAAAAAATATAATGAATAAAAGGTATTTAAACTCACCACTCCACTTGCAGATTTTGTTTTCACATCCAGTTTCACCAACCCAAAACCTTCACAAACAAAAATCAAAGTTACTCCAGTAGGCTTTAACTAAGACCATACACGTTTTCCAAGCAGCTGGTTTCCCAGGCAGTGTCAGCAGTGTTCCTGCTTATACACATATATAAACACAACCATATCCTGACTTCAGTAACACTCAAACATTAGATGCCACAGTGGGTAGAGGCGGCCACTCTACAACAGGCCAGGAGCTCTGTTCTATCATCACCCCACAGAAAGTGGGGAGCAGCCTCTCAGCTGTACACTGTGCATTTAACTACACAACTATGACTTCCAAGAGTAAATTCAGCACAGACAAAATGCATTCTTATCCGTTCCTGGGCTGGCATCGGCTTTGTACTCAATGCCATTTGCAGAGCTATCCCAACGCATAAAATTCATCTCTCAGCCCCAAGAAGAAATATCTCAAAGTAAAAAACTATAGCAGTGAAGTCACTGGGCAACACACAGCCTCTGGAACTGTAAGGTAAGTAGGTTTTATGGGAGTGTCAATTCACACTGCTATCCTTAGAGCTGAGCAAGACTTGGTGAAAAAGCCCCCGCGTGCATTCCCACAGGCCAGAAAGAAACAGCACTGTAATGAAGCAGAAATTAACTATGCAACTGCCTGGTATTAAAGCATTTTAAAACATTGAAGGATTCTTTATCCCAATAGCTATCCCTCCCTCTAGTCCAAAAAAGCCTATAATATTACAGTCATATATACATATCCCTTTCCAAATGTTGTGGCACAGACAGATCAGTAAACAAACTTACTCCTAAGTTAAATTACACTTGATGCTTATATTCTTGCATACTTGTACACCTCTGACATTTAGATGGCTTAAAGCAGTAAGATTTAAGAGACTTCACATCAAAACAGCCCACAAAAAGCCTCCAATGATCTGCTGACGGTAACGATATAAAACCAATACACCCTCCCCCTCCACAGAAACACAGGCATTTGAGCATCTGATTTTACATACAGGCTTAAAAAGCTACTATTCTTACCATATCCTTTATTGAAGATGTCTCTGGCAGATTTGCCAAGGTCTACGTACGATGGAGGAATCGCCATTGGAGCTGAAAGGTAACAGGCTAGTTAATAGTGAACATTTTGCCATCATGTATGCACAAAAAAAAAATCTACCACAACTCTTTAAACACACTCAAGGCAGATTTCTGTATGAAGGCAGTTAATAGACAGATGGCTCAAACAACTCTAGTGAAACACCTACAGATCTGCCGTGACAGTCACTGTGAATACTGCACGTCCTCTTGGCTCAGATGAACCTGCTTGTAGAGAAGGGGCATTACAAGACCACCCAGTTCTTAATTTTTCAAGTAGATTTCTCCGTACAGGTTTAATTACCAGAAATCAACTAATAGCTCACATTTCCAGAGTTGGGAGTTACCACCAAAAACCAAGAAACTGGAAATGTGAAAAGCCATAATGCAGACAGTTATTTCCTGAAGTTGCACAGTCAGATCTGACAGACGCTTACGAAGATTCCCTGGAAGGACCTACAAGGTTTTATTTTCAAAACGTAAAGAGTGCATACCTGTTCTGCAACATCCTTTGCCCTGTATTTTAAATGGTATACATGCAGTTTAAAAAGGAACAACTAGTGCCATTAACTAGAAACCAGTTTTTCTACAAGAGTTTAAGTTGGGGGGGTTGTCTTGTTGGTGTAAAACAGACAAGAAGCAAGTAGCAGGGGTGCTGGGTCAGTGAGAAGGGCTCTCTTTAGCAGTGCCCTTCTCAGACGGGGAGCCTCTGGTACCCTCGCTGCCGAAGAACCCGTCACCCAAAACTGGCTCTGACCCAGCCTCCCCAGCCAACGGACAGGCAGCAGCTCGAGGTCTCACACAGCCTGTGCAGTTCTCCTCCCTGTGGAGATACACTCGATCGGTACCTTCCCTCCGTGACTGTTTTCCCACAATTTCAATAGCAAAAAGCCTCTGTTACAGAGGAGTGTCTTTTAAAGTTTTAAAATACAGAAAAAAGAGCGTATTTCACAGAGTTAATAACTCCCCCATGCTGTGAAGGGGGGGGAAATAATGAAACCAACTAGATGAGCACCATAAAAAGGCTAAACACAAACAAACAAAAAAATCTTCTCTTATCTTTTCAAACTGATTATTCACATTTGTTTTGCAGAGAAAGTCAGATTAACATAATTGACTGTTTATCTTGCTCAAGTGGAGTTTTTTGTTCAACTAAATGAAAAAATATCTTCAGAACCTCAAAAATAACAAGCGCAGTACTCTCACAGATTAACTTTCAGCTGAAAGCAGAAAAGTCTGCTTTCGTTTTTATATTCTTCTGCAGACCTCCGAAAGATCGGATGTGTACTCAATAATACAGCATCAAGGCAAGCTTTTTTTTTTCCTCTCAGAAGAGCTTCTTCCCATCTTTTCATGGCCTTATCTACATAAAGGGGAAACCTGGAACACCCGATTCAGAAATATTTCCTTTAGGGCACCATTCCGCTGAACAGCCCTGTTTCAGAATAGCATCCCACTAAAATAAAAACAAACCCCCCTCATCACACCTGTCATATACAGTCTAACGGTATGATCTGCTACTATTTAAAAAAAACCCCGAACTGTTCTAGCAAGCAATGGTAAGGCACAAAACTGTTTCTTACCTTTCTAGAAGTTCTAACACAGTTTCCCAGAGTGCCTTACTCCACCTCCCTAAGCCGTAAGAAGGTAACTTCAACCTCCTCTGAGCAAACACATTTACATTCACAGATAGACTAAAAAAAAACCCCTACCTTTTAAAAATCCTTCTTTAGTAAGGGGTTCTAAACTCTACAACCAGGTCACTACGGCAAGACCTCCACCGCTTGCTCAAGAATGTAAAACAAGTCTGGTTTTCCATTAAGTAAACTGTCTTTCAAAGGGCAAAGAAAAAAAAAAAAAAAGATGAAAATGACTCGGAGCATTTGAAGCTTGACAAGGCTTAGGCCCAAGTTCAAGTCCATTATAAGCAAGTCTCAAGAAAAAAAGTTCAGTAGCAGAATAGACACTAATCCCAGTGACAAGACATTAAATGGTTCCTACTATTTATTCAACAAAAAGAAGCAGATGGTAGACCAAGTAACAAGAAGGTGTAGGAACACTGCTCTTTCCCCTCTAAATTTCTGCTGCACAGCAACTGTACAGTTCGCTAGCAGTTTAAAACAATTTAGAGAAGGTTTAGCTATGCATTTTTCCTTTAATGAATAGGTCTCACTTTAACTAGCATCTTCAGAATAATTATTTCTAGTTTAAAAGCTTTATACCAGCCTTAACACCGACATGCTTTTACACGACAAATAAACAGGCTTTTTACTTTTGTTTTCAATGCTTCCAATCTGACTAGACAACCATTACAGACAAGAGATTGATGCTAAGCAGCAGCATCCTGAGAAGTTAACAAACTGGTATCTGTGTCTACATTCAAAGGACTACCACAGCAAAAAGGATGTTGCTGTTTTAACTGGCCTAGCTAAGCATACTTCCCACTGCAAGGAAACCAGCCAGTATTTGTCAGACACTCCAACCTACAGATCGAAGTTTTGCGACAAAAACTTAAAACAGAATACAACTGTCACATTGCTGTTCTAATCCTATACTAACAGGGATGGATGAGGACAAAAGGGGAAACCAAAAGTTAATTTTCGGGCGTACTACACACCTGACAAGCCAGTGCCATCATCAGAATGCTCACTAAATGAAAACAGGGCCAAAAAAAATAACATCCCTGTGCCTCCCATGTTGGCAAGTTAGCTAGGTCTGCAAATTCTTAGAAGCAGAAGTAGTTATCTTCAACCCTATTTTGAAGTGTCTCACTTAAAAAATTACTAATTAGAAGTGACTAAAATATAAGTACCACTTAACAAGAGGTTTGTTGTGAAGGCAATTATCACAATCTTATGCCTCGTTTCAAAACCACAGAATCTACTTGAATCAAGTGGGAGCTCCACCCTGATCTTTGTTTCATGCCACTCAAAAAAAATTCAATTAATTTGTTACTCAAGAGCCACAAATATGATTCCTTCTTCTGTAAAAACAAATAACCCCAAGAACAGAAAAATGTGTTAGCATTATCAGAATTATTACATCACAGTTCTTCTTCGAGGTAAGATTTCAAAACTCTCTCACACCCTACTATTCAAGGAATGTCAAGGACCTTCTATAAAGATTTCTAACAACTTTAAGACCTCAGGATATCGAAGATCAGGCTAGAGGCTAGCTCAGGCTATAACACAAAAACTAAGTATTCATGAAATTCTGCAAAAAATGGCCGTAACTACACTGAAATTGGTTTCCAGTAGTGTCAGTAGCAACGGAGAAATCGGTATTCTTCAAAAAGTACTTGGTTAAAATACGCCGGATGCACCACGGACGTTTAGGCTTACACTGCTAATAAAGCTAAAAAGAACAATAAAACTCCACCACCGCCCCGTTAGCCCGGCTTCAGCTCCCTCCCTCCCCGGCCCAGCAGCCACCGCCGGGCCCACCCGGGGCACCTACGGAGCAAGGGAAAAAATAATTAAAATATCTGAAAATGGAACAAGGCGCCCAGACA